TTCACATGTAAACTATTACTTAAATCTGTTTTACTTTTCTTAAAATCTAAGTATATTTTTCTCAAGTATGATCTCGGAATATTTTGTCTCATCTGTAGGCATGCAGCTTTAAGAATTATTTATTTAGCTTGCTATGGGAAATTGATAAACATTTTACGTTCTAATAATGGGCTATACGCTTTATATATGTAGCATATGCATGTAAATAATTAAACCGCGTCACGACAAAACCAACATAATGGGTTTGCGACCAGCATGGATCCAGACCAGTGCGCATCCGCGTAGTCTGATCAGGATCCATTCTGTTAGCTATTAGTTTCTCTACTTGTAATAGGGTTGGTAAGCGGACATCATGGATCCTGATCAGACTGCGCGGATGCGCAGGCTGGTCTGGATCCATGCTGGTCGCAAACCCATTATGTTGTTTTGTCATGGCACGGCTCATATATGGCCCGACCGCTTGGCTTAATAGAGAAAGAGTATCGGATTTGTAATTCAGGAGTCTCTGGTATACGATCCTCGGGGGAGGTGAAATATCTTCATGACAACTGATCTAGGACGGTCATCTGTCTCTCATCGCTGATTGGATTAGATGTCGGTCACATGCAGAAAAAAATAGTCATTACTGGTTTAGTATCCAGGAAAGTTACTGACCGCTGAGCTATGACCAAAACTTTGATTCACCAGAAAAATAACCCACATATGTAAATATGTAAATATTAATTATGACCACATCTCAGATACATATGTTTAAATTAATTCATTCCAATACTACTTATGTTAACATTCTGATTGTATTTGTTTTATGATATATTGGTCTAATTGCAATAATATATGATTAAAAATGTATTTATATGTGTGTCCAATCATGAAATCCGCTAAGTTTATGTTCACTGCATGGTCGTCTATGCCTTCAGGAACGTTCCACTCTCCGTGTTCTTAAATGGGAACAATTTAAAGGTGCTGGCGTCATAAATAATTTGAAATTTATAAAATAGGCCAGTATAAGGATAAGTCACTAATACACAATTGCTCTTTGACGTTTTGCGAACAAAAGCACGTATAACCTTGCTATTGAATCGTGACTTTTTTCAGAATATAAGGCGATATTTTTACTTTAAACCTTCATGTATGTACATATTCTCAAATATATAGACATTCTCATACATTTCAAATACATATACACATTCGATTATATATACACCTGTATTCATATACACATTCTCATACTATTCCCATACATATAAATTAGAATACAAATACATGTATAAGAAAAAGAATAAATTTAAATGTTTAAAGCAAATACGGACAGCCTGCAGAACGTGACAAAGACGTTATCTTAGCGTTCTACTAGACATTTGCCAGGAAGGCCTAATAATAATAATATAAATAATAATAATAACAATAATAGCAACAACAACAACTATAATAATAATAGTAATAATAATAATAACGATAAAGATAATTTATGTTCTTATAAACAAGTGGCCCTTAGCAGTTTTATTTGCTCGACATGGTAAAATAGAACTGATTTATTTTACGAAGTTTTCATAAATAAATTCATATTCATTTCAACTGACAATTTGCTATGAGCTAAATCCGTGGAGCGATTTAACGCATGACAATGCAATAAGTTTAGTTACTGATAATTTTGCATCAGTAATTTTTCAATATGTCATAGAATTGTTCCAGATGTTTTATATAAAGCAGATGACTCTTACGTAAGTTATTCACTTTACATTGGAAAAGTTGCAGACGACACTTACAATATGATTGGACTAGCCGCTGCTGCGTTTGTTACACTTAGCTCTCTTGTAACAGTTTCTGCGATTAATCCAGGTACCTTTTTCAAATGTTTCCAGTTACATTTCGTTATTTGATGTTGCTTTTATTAAGAAGTAAATATTTGGTTTTTGATCGCCATTATGAGATCATGGTCCAAAGATGTACACAATGGTCGGCGGCCCTCTGACCATTATGTACATCTTCGGGCAATACTCGCATAATGGCGAGCAGCAAACCAAGTTTTATAACCTAAATAATGCCGAGAAGTAAGGCGGTCACAGTTGCATAATGACCGAAATCTTGCCAGAATGACCTTACAATACCCTAAATTTTGTTACTATATATAGTAGCATAGGTATTAATGGGTAATATGGACGATATGGTTATTTGTGGACGTTATGATTCGACGTCATGTTCGTTACATATGAACCTCTGTAGTAAAACACGCGAATAAATACACCGTTCATTGCAGTATTTCTATTAATATTCAAGAATGACAATTCTTACATCTATGACAATTTAACAGTAGACAATGTTCAATTCTTAAAAGGCCACTCCATTATGCATCAGAAATGCTATCATTTTCAATTCACAAAAACATTTTATTATTTGTATCTTGTTACAGTTTCCAACAGAATACTCAATTGCCATCATCTTTACTTCTTTTGCTCTGAAGCCAAATGATATAATTGTAGTGAATCACTATTTTGTATACTACTTTGTTTAAATGTTGCTACCTTTAGAACATATTACTGCATTTCTTTAGTTATTTAACATATTAACGTAATATACATGTAAATCGATAATTAAACTATTAATTATTAAACACATGGTAACATTTCATAAGAATTTCAATAATATTGACGTCTTAGGATTAATGTGCCTTGTAAATGGTTCGTTATCACCAGGTTGAATTATACGGAGCCCCTAAGGAGACATTTTCCACACTTTCTTCCCCGGAACTTAATTCGTTTTTACGAACTTACGGAATAATAATTCGTTTTTACGACATGTTATTTCGTAATTACGAAGTATTATTTCGTAATTACGAAATATTAATTCGTAAAAACGAATTACTATTTCGTAATTAAGATCGTTTTTACGAATTAATATTTCGTAATTATGAAATAATATTTCGTTATTACGAAATAACATTTTGTAAAAACGAATTAATATTTCGTAAGTACGAATTGATATTTCGTAAAAACGAATTAATATTTCTCAAAAACGAATTATTATTTCGTAATTACGAAATAACATTTCGTTTTTACGAAATTACAAAATAATATTTCGTAATAACGAATTAATATTTCGTAAAAACGAATTAACATTTCGTAAAAACGAATTAATAATTAGTTAAAACGAATTAATATTTCATAAAAACGAATTAAATGCCGGGGGAAAAGTGTCGAGAATGTCACTTTAGGGGCTCCGTAGAATTAAAAGTATCTCACGTTTTTTAAAGTGGGGAAAAAAAGATGAACACTGTTTTTAGTTTTTACAAAGAGGCATAGCATTATATTAAGAGTGTTTTCGTTTTGTGTCTGTGTATGTGTTTCCGTGCGTGCTTGCGTGTGATTTATTCAGTTTAATTAGATTTATTCTCTTACGTCAATGATTAATTATGAAACACGTCAAATGGCGTCTGACGCCCTCAATAAATGAGCAGAGTTGTTTACCTTTGTACAACTTTGATAATGACAAATCAGAAGACTTCGAAATTATATAAATTCACTACACAGTTATTTTTATGTTTTCAGTTTGTCTGAAGAAATATGTGGAGCAAAGAGCGTGTTTTGAAACGTTCGATATCTGGACATATGACCCAGACATTGGCGCATGCGTACATATTCAGGACTGTCCCGGAGAATATTACCAATTCGAGGAAAATGCCTTTCAGTCCCATGAGAGATGCGAAATGACATGTTCACCCGGAAAGATTGTTGGTCATTTAAAGCACTTTTGATAGGTCATTTAAAGCACATCTGATTAATAAATAACTATATTCAGTATTTTTCATTTGTTCATTTTCTTCATCTCAATGTTCCATTGCAACTTGGACATAAAAACACTCCATGTCCAAGATTGCATAATTGACAGCTTAATGGACAGAAGATCAATCCTTCCAATTTCTTTATGAAAACTCTGCAAGTGTTCAAAATACAAATGTAGTAAAAAAAAATATCAAGTGTACATGTGAATAAAGAATTAAGACAGTCTTATTACAGAAATAAAGTTATACATTTTCAAAAATTGCCAAAGTTCCCCGAAATATTTATTCAATATACTAGTAGGCGTGGTCGCAAACCGGTAAATAAAAAATCAATCTTCTGCACATATTTTTAAGGCAGTATTGGAAGTTAATATTCTGCTTTCATTTTTTTTTTTTGAAAATCTGCGAGTAAATATGATTTAATATTTTCTACGCGTATCGCGTACGGCAATACATAAACGTTTTGCATTACGCAGATTACATGGGCTAGAAAATATTACCTGCGGTTCGAATAGCAGCGCAATATAGAATGCCACTTCGTAAAGATATCTAAAGTAGAAATACTTAATGAGATGAAAACTGTTAAAGAATATATATTATGTGCTTCTTTGTATCAACATACAAATTATCATATGGATTTTGAATACTATTTTTATGATATTACATGTATTATGTATTTCTTAACCTTTTTATCATAGTTGTTCTAAGTTTTGCGTTCATTCGTCTTGAAGTGTACTGAAAAACCGCAAGAAAAATCACGAACACGCAATTTTTACCTTTTCTTATGAAAAGTTATATAATTATACATGAAATATATTGAAATAGCTCAACATATAAAAGAAGTTACAGGTAATAATACTGGTTTAGTACAGATAATTGAAATGTGAGTACATACGCATTTGTGAGGACTTGAGCAAAATAATGAGCGTTCTTTCTGACAAGTAATAATGTATAATGACAATTATTCACAGAAGTTAAAGTCATTTTGATTTTTTTTCTTTTTAAGCGGCGGATAAAGTTAAACGAACACACTTCAGATCTGTTCGTGATTATCACTTTTCGCATATTAAGTTTACTTTCTCGTTGGAAAATATATTGTCATATAAATATTGGCATACACGACACGTGGCAAAGTGTATGTTCAAGGATGACGATCTTCGACTTCAATAAAAAATACAAGCGTTACTAGCATTTTCATTTTTCTTAGCCATTCTTTTTTAACAACATCTTTTCCACCTTCAAAATAGACATCATTATCATCTGCATCGCCATTTTATCTTTAATCCACGCCATTTTCGTCATTCAGAATCATCTCCCACATCGTTTTTTCATTGCCTTTAATATCTACAACACGTTTCTCAATCCAAAACACAAACATCATTCACTCTTTACCATTATAATCATTTAAGTTCTTTTCAACAGCGATGGCATTAGTTTCTTCCCCCGCGCAATCAGTAATGTTTGTGGCACCACAATCATCAATCATCTCTACACCATCAGCACAAACAGTCTCCCCAAAAACATCATTGTCTTCTACTACCAAGCTATCATCTTTCTCACCAATATCACTATAACCAATATTTTCTTTACCACCATTATTTCCTTCATCAACGTCATCATTTATGTTTCCAAAACCACCAGCATCATCGCCAATATCACTGTAACCAATATTTTCTTTACCACCATTATTTCCTCCATCACCGTCATCATTTATGTTTCCAAAACCACCAGCATCATCGCCAATATCACTGTAACCAATATTTTCTTTACCTCCATTATTTCCTCCATCACTGTCATCATTTATGTTACCAAAACCACCAGCATCATTGCCACTACTTATTACTCTACAGTCGTCACAATTTTTTTCTTCACCATTACCATCACCATGGTCAGGAGCATATTCACTACGACTATTAACTTCTATGAGTTCACCATCATCAACAACGTCAGTGGAATTTATCCGTTTATTGCCTTCTAGTGTCTTCATTTGCTGGTTAAATTTTTTTTTCCCCTTTTTATTAATCTTAAATGAACAAAAACTAAAGTAAAACTTCAAGCGAGACAGCAAAATTTTATGTTCATAGTGTGCAATATCTTATTTATAGGACATGCTACATTAAATGGCGACAGTACTACGGTAATCCCTAACCACCGCAATGTTCGTCCGTACTTGCTCATGTGACATTACAGGATGAATGTCCGCGTTCAATCCCGACAGACTGTACTAATCTTCAAGGATACCCTTATTTTGTTTGACAAAGCTGTATTTTTGTCCGACTTTCGAAATGAATGGCAAATAATTTCGTGCAGTCTGACCAGATTTTATACTATTAGTAGTCTAATAGAGAAATCCATTTCAAATTTTCAGATTCAAGCAGGACAAATTCACTTCACAAATTCGATTAACTTAAGGCTAACAATCATCTTATGCAGCAAACAAGCCAAGCAAAAATGATTTTTAACAAATTTCTTCGGGCGTACAACTAACAGGCTTTCCTGGATAACTTTGATAACTATGGAAGATAATCGCTGCTTCAATTACATTCTGCTTTCTTACATTGCAAATTGTAGATTTATGTAATTTTGGCAACAGTTATCTTCCATAGATAGCTGACCTGAAAAGCTTTAAATTGTCATTTGCTATTAAAGGCTATGCTAATAATGTATTTTGTTCAGCAAATAGATCATATTTATGTTATCAATTCATGTATGTATAATATATCAAATGTCATAAACTTTATAAAGAAATCTTATTCTTTCCATGTGTAATCTCTTGACAAAAACTGGAATTGCACCATATATCGTAGCTGTCGTTTACATTAAATTTTGGGAATACATGTATACTGAAATAAATGATTTTCGAATTTAATGGCCGTATTTTTAACGTGTACAGATTTGACGAATTAAAAATGGATACAAAAAGGTTAATCTACATTTAAATGTGTCATAGCTAAACATGATAAAGAGTTGATTACCTTAAATTTGTAACAGGCCTTTTTGCGCCTCACTCTGACGAGTACACTGAAGTAAAAAAGATTTTTTTTAAACCACCATTATCAAATATCAAAAAATAAGGCATTGAGCATATGAAACAGGTAATGCTTAAGGGCATTTTTCCAAAAAGGGTCACATGATCACATCGCGAAAAAACAACAACAAAAACCAACAAAAAACAACTTGAAACAATATCATATTTCATGATTATGCATACTAGGATGGACACCGTAAGTTAAATAACATGTTCACAAAGATTTCAGGATCAGGATCAAGATCAGGATCAAATTTAAAAACTCTATTATTATTCATTTTTAACCTGATAGATTATATATTTAATATTAATTTGATAAAACTAGACTTGCAATAGCAAGTTTATGATGTTTTAGAATACATTTATAGTCAATTTTGCAAGATACAGGCATTTTACAGTTGATCCAAATATTGATCCTGATCCTAAAATTGATCCTCATTTTGATCTGAATATATTTGTATTTGCTTTGTTATTTGTTGATTTTATCCCAAAATAGTTTGGTTTCTTTGCAAATCAGCATTTTTTTACATTTTGAATATCTACCATTTACATCTAGGAAAGCATGATTAATTTTAGTGACATTAAACAATGAAAATAAAACCAGGATCACTTGATCCTGATCCTGATCTTTTGTTAGTGAACACGGGGCAAAAAAGAAGCCTTGGTGTACTATTTTATGCATAACAGAGAAATCCCACGGGAACTTGATATATCTAAAATATTAAAACATGGTCGCACATGTAAATGTTACTCACCAGGCGACGATCAGTGCAGCAACAACAACAACAATAACAGTACCCAATACGATCAACGGCACGACCAGAAAATGGGGGCTACCTGAGGAAGATGGCGTAGTAACAATTAGCTGCGTCGAAGAGCTTACTGTTGTTGAAAAAGACGTCGTTGATGATGTCAAAGGTGACGTCGTTGATGATGTCAAAGGTGACGTCGTTGATGATGTCAAAGGTGACGTCGTTGATGATGTCAAAGGTGAACAAGCTCTCTGAATTATGCTTGATGATGCATCCGTTGGAAATCTTTTCAAACACCTCTTGGCTATTTCACAAACTTCCTGTTTGCAAATACCGATGTTTATTGCATAATCTACGAACTTGTCGTAAAAGAAAGGGGGTGGACACGGTGCTGCATTAAGCCAATCCCTGGATGAACATCCATCAACGTTACACGTACAGTTCATTAACGTTTCCATTTATACATGTATAAAATTTATACTTCCTTTTAGTTAAACGTTCTCATGTATATTTTCACAAAACTAACAGAGTAAACAGTTTAAACATTTGGTAAACCATAGTTTGAATACATAATGCATAACATTTTTATTGCTTTTATAATATTGATTAATGTTTCAGGTGCGATCATAAACGCTCCGTGTTTTATAAATAAATAAAACATAGATTAAAAAATATTATTATACTCTTTACTCTATAATACTCTATAACTTACAAGAACTTGCACTTAATTTCACTTTAAAGTTATCCATTACTTTTCAATGCCAAAATGTAGCACGACAGAAAAAGACATATATCACTAATGAAATAAATTAGAAAATTAAAGTTATATACGTCCGTTAAGAAATAGAAAGAGCATCGAAACACCAAGCTATCTGATTTTTACTGTACGAGGGGGGGGGGGGGGGTAGCCCTCGAGTATTAATCAGATTGTTGAGTGGTTTAATGTTCATTCTCTTTTGTATCATAGTCAAACATAAAAACACGTCCCCTGTTTTCACAATATTAAACCCCAGAAAAAAGTAAGCAATGAACGAGCATCTGAATATGAAATTTCTGTCGCTTTCCCTTTTCTGCCGTCACAATAAAAAAGACATGCTCTGGAGTGCGGGTATCTAATACCTGCATGTACTCCAGTTAACGCACTGTGCATTTATATGTATACGATTTAACTTTGACACATTTTCAACAGATAGGTCTCAATACTATGATACAATCAATTTTATTGTGTTGACATTAAGTTATTTCCAAAAGTTACTGTTATCTTATGAGCTATTTAAAAGATGATATCACATTTTTAAATCTCTAAGCAAAAAATATTATATCCTTGGCATGCTATAAAAAATGTCGCGCGAAATAAGGTTTTAATGTTAAAGAGCTTTGAACTTATATAATAACTGCAGTAGGCTGTTTGCAAAGACTTTAATGATTGCCAGCTGGCATAGGGTTCACTTAATTTAAGGGCTTACAAAAATTCTATCGAAAGCTAACAAATTTTTCGCATAGCAAAAGATGAAACATATCAATTTCTACTCCTCAGTGAATATGAATTTAAAATGAGAATTTGTTTTAAAGTTTCCGTTTTCTTTAGTCTTTTGCGTGACAGTAGTGGCCCTTCGTAAGTTTGAAATTCTATATAAACATGAACTACATTTTTGTTATCGGTTTATTGTTTAAGTGAATTCATCTTAGCGATCAAGTTATTATCTTAACAGCTCAAACATGACTATACATGGTAATATGGGTCTTAAAATGTTAACATTTGAGCCATGTCATGACAAAACCAACATAGTTCGTTTGCGACCAGCCTGGATCCAGACCAGTCTGAGCATCCGCGCAGTCTGATCAGGATCCATGCTGTTCGCTATCAGTTTCTCTATTTGTAATACAGTTGGTAAGCGAGCAGCATGGATCCTGATCAGACTGCGCGGATGCGCAGGCTGGTCTGGATCCATGCCGGTCGCAAACCCATTATGTTGGTTATGTCGTGACGCGGCTCATTTAATTCAGCGTGTCCCCAGATGTGTAATAATTTTGGTAAATTTTATTCAAATAAGTAAACATGTGCATTCATGAAGTGGTTTAATAAACATAGCATTTAATAGACTTCCTTAAGCTACATGTACCTATAGCGTGTTAAAAAGGGCTGATGTGACCCTTACAGATAGTTGTTTAATAGTGATAAAACATGAAGTAAATTTTGTGATTTTTTTTTCATAAACCTTTTAAATTGTTTCTTAAATATTGAATATTTATACCTGGGACAATTTCATTTTGTCTAAGCTAATACTTCTGTTTAAGCAATCATATATTTTCCCAACTGTAATGTTTTTCTGTTTTTTTTACTCACCTAAAGCCGTGTCGCTGGCTCTAAATTTCCGACAATCTTGCCGAGTTGCAATTCATACATTCTTGCTGGTACTTTATTTGATCACATACCCGTGCCGAAATTGAGACTCCGTAAAAATGGTATTGCACGGCGGTGCATATATTTTGACGTGACGTCATTAATAGCGTTATACAAAAATAGTGTCAAGACGCGCTAATAAATGTTAGCGTTAAACTACGTCAATGAAAAATGACTATTATTTTACTTTAAACGGTCTTTATTTTTGGTATGTGATAAATAGAATATTAAATTTGTGTAAGTTCATTACTGAATTTTTTGCACTCGTTGAATAAAATAATATAATTTTATTCAACTCGTGCAATAAATTCAGTATTGAACTTACACTCATTCAATATCCTCTATATCTGGCCTATACTCTAACATATTCACAACTTAGATATGAATGCCAAATACATGATTAGTCATAAAATATGTTTACATGACGAATTCATCTGTTTCACCTTATCTTCCAGGCATACGGTATAATATGTTTATTTTATCAACCTGTGACCATATTGTACTATTAGGTCAGAATAAAATCGGCTGTTGAACTAAAATGTTGAGCTTTGCGATTACAGTGATTCTAATAGTGAAATGTGTGCATACAAGTCTATCTATGGACCCAGGTTTGTATTTAATTTTTCGTATCAATTAAATAATATTTCAAATTAAATATCAATTAATATTTTATTTTTTGGAAAGACAGATGTTTGGTTTTTGATAATCTTTAAAGTGAATTAGTCTTTAACGGAAGGTCTGTCATACAATGAATAGTTATATTGATAGTATAAAGTATCAGACATGACAACAAAACAGGAAAGAATGATATATTTGAACGAGTTGAATAAATCATATTTCGAGAGCCTTTGACGAGCAAAATATTATTTTATTCAAAGAGTTCAATAAATCTAGTATTTTATGTCCTTGGTAACTTACTTAACAAAAAACTCTCTAGAAATAATAATGACTGACGTCCTCATTAAAATGTGTAAACATGTTTTTTTACCTGATTAACTGAATCGTTTTCCAAGTCCTTCTTTACATTTCAGAATGCCTAAAGCCTGTTGAAGAACAGCCGTTCTGTTTCGAAGTATTTGATCTCTGGACTTACAATACGGAAAAACAAGCATGTTTCCGGTTTAAAGATTGTACAGGACCGTACTTCCGATTAGGTGAAAACGTCTTCCCTTCCCGAGAACGATGTGAAAAGAAGTGCATGACTTAGACATAATGCTGCTATTTTTTGAAGAATTCAATGAACTTTCATTAAAAAAAAGTTAGTTTCATGTGTCAGCTTGCCCAGGAGTGCATTGATAATTGGGATTTAAAAATTTAACAAATAGAAATTAATTGAATTAAAATAATTATCAAAAAGTTCAAATTTTGATACCTAAAGTGGCTCACGTACTGTTTCAAATGTTAAAACTGAAGCTAAAATGTCCAAGAACATCTCTTGGACATTAATGCGATCATCAAATGTCAAATTCCAAGACCTCATATAAAATTGTAATAAAAGTTCACATTCAAGGCAAATGTGTTCAATTGCTTTTTACCCAACGGTCATGACTTAAGGTAGAACGCGACACTTTGCGAACTTTCGAGTAGCGTCTTGAAAATTGGCATAGAAGAATTTGACCATATTTCTAATAAGGTTCCGTTGATTTTATTTTAAATAGTTTCCTCCAATTTTTGTACACACGGCGTCAAAGTTGACCATCAAAGCCCGTTTACGAGCATGATCGAGGTCGTTGCGTATCCGTGGCAACTTTTACGGGTATTTCAACGCCATTGGCGGACAAAATATCTTTAATTCTACAACATTTGACGGAAAATAGTTTTCCTTTAGCTAATATAAAATTTATCATTTTACGCCGAACTATTTGAAAAATGGAAAGAAAATTGTCAATTTTGTGTAAAATTTGACGTTCAGTTTAGCCACAATTTTCGGCTTTAAAGCGGCTTATTTAAAAATTCCTGAAATAAATCTTTGATTATTTTCTTTAAACGTCCTTCAAAATGTATACTTAGTCAAAATAACTAAAAAATAAAAAAAAATTAGGGGGTCACCAATGGCGTTAATATACCCGTAAAAGTTGCCAATGATACGTAACGACGTCGTGTTCGAAAACGGGCTTTGACGAACGTTCATTTTTTATGCCCTCACCATTCTATGTTTAATATCCCAGAAGTATACACAGCTGACTTGTATACACAATCAAGAGCTTGAATCGCGCATATTTGACGGGTCAGGTGCTTAACTCTAGACGGGGATTACCTTAAACATAGGAAATAAAAAATAATATACATATTTAAAGAAAACGTCTGTTTGTTTAGAAAAAACGAAAGAAAAAAACCTAACCAAATAACTCCGTCTGGCATGCTCTAATGCCAGACATGTTCAATCCAAAACTGTGTTGTGAATTTCCTTCCTAATTTTCGACAGAAACAAAACTACAAAGGCCATGGGCATAAATATAAAGCCTAGCTTTATTTAGTGGAACATATAAAGATGTTTATATTTATAAATGTTTTTATTAATTGTTATCATTGTTAACTGCAAGAGACTTGAGCGGGGTAGTCGACTGCTACGGAGAAACAGATCTATTTTATTTGATATAATATATGCCATATGGGATGTACATGTATATAGTTACATTTTCAAAAATGCTTAAAATTAACTAATGTAAAGTAGGCCTACACGTTACATCAGTATGGATGTTTGATCTCCTTTATAGAAGTCAAATGGTAAATTTATAATCAATGGGTGATATTTT